AACTTGGTGAGGGCCTAATATACACAAAAGGGAGTGAGGGCTTGGGAATCCTGAAAGGAAAACCTTTGGCCTTGTAAAGTTGTATATGACTCAGGGAGAAAGAGAACCCGGAATGTCATGTGTGTTAGTCCACAGCGCTCTTCATTTCATCTCTGGCCAAGCTGCTGTACGAATGCCTGCATTTCTGAAATAACTGCTCAGGTAACTACCATAAGCACATACACGAGAGGCAAACACCAAGACATTCACATTCATCAGACAAAACCTTTCTCGTCTGTCTCATCTATGGTGCAGTCATCACTGGTAGCCTCTCCTTTCAAGCTCACAAATTTTGGGAATGCAGGTAATTACAGTGAAGATGATGAGTGCCTGGTCTTAATTACAGTTCAGGTTTCCTCCACATCCCTAAGAGATGGCCTGGCCACCATTTCTAATCCTGATCTCAAGTACGGTGAGAAAACCAGGACTTTCGAGTGGGAGGCACTCCCTGTGTCCCCTAAAGCCAGTTGCAGTTCAGGTTCGAGCTGGTCCGCGGCTCCTCCACTCCAGAAAGCCACACAACTGTCCTTCTCCCAGGCAGGCAGCCAGGAGCCGTAGCACGATGGCTCGGCGTCCTGCTGGGAGGCGTGCGGAGGTGACTCCCCACTGGAGCACCTCCCCGGGGGGAGGCCCTCAAGCTCTCCCCGTCTCACAGCCTTTTAATCCAAATCTTTGAGAATTATCTGCTATCATTTACGTTGGTACTGCTTATGAATTTGGGACAAATGTAGCATACTATTTCATCTGCTCTTTTATCCCATGTTTCTATCTGTTTGCTGCAAACCATGGGAGCTCCTTGAGCAAGGTCAGTGTCCATCCCCTATGCAAAAGAAAAGGGCAGAAACTGGCCCTCTGGCTGCTCTCTGTAACTTGTCCCCCAAATCCCATGCTCCAGTGTGTTTCATGTGCTTGCAGTGATTCACCTTCAGAAATGCTTTAGGCCCATCTCCGCTGCTTAGATTTTATATGTGCAAAAGCAAGTTTCAGGCATTGTCATTACCTCCTGTCCTGGTCCCTGTTTGCCTGGAAAACTGGAACAGTCTCTTTCACATTGTTTAGAGGGTCTCCGAACACTGACCACATACTGCCTATCATCATATATAGGGTGTGCAAAGACAAATATGTAGCCTGAGTGTAAAAATGTCAGTCTCAAAAGGCAACAAGTTTTGACAGCATTTGTCTTTGCTGCAAAGGCTCCCTTTTGCTGTGTAAATTGACTTACAAATGTGAAAGGGTAATTTCAATATTTATCAAGGGATGTTCAGTGATCACAATAAAATCATAAAATGCAAGATACTGTTTGCAGTTTGCACCTGTATAAGCAGGAGGGCTTCGATGTATGGTTGGCTCGTTTGCTTGACAAGTCACTGCAAAGGTAAGTGCAGTCTGAGTTTCTGCGACATGCCTGCCCTTGGTGAGCTCCTTGTGGAAGGCCCCTGGGTGAGGGCTGTAAGGGGAGGCAGGTGGCTCCCACTCGCCTTAGGAGTGCGGGGAGCCGCCGGGCGGAGATGGGCAGAGAGAGCTGTGGATCCCTTTAGCCCTTTTTGGGCTAAAAGGTGGCGAGGCGGTGGGGTAAGGCCAGACTCAGGCTCTGCCTCCGCCGCTGCAGAGTGGGCAGCCAGGCCGACCACCGTGTCCGTGCGGGAAACCCCGGCAGTGAAAAGGCACGTGTGGGGCTTAGGCGGGGGCAGGGAGAGGAGGTGCTCGCGCTGCTCACTTTGTGTGCTGGTAAAACCAGAGCGCTGTGTCTCCGCTGCGCTTTGTGGCAAGCTAAGTCATGCAGCTGTTGTCCCCTGGCAAAAATACACAATTTTCCTTTTGTTTTGCAGTAATGGAAGATTTTTTTTATGGCTGACATATGAGAGCTTTATAACGTTAGTTCAAGATAAGCGGTTGCAGAGGGGAATTCTCTGAATGCAAAACCCAGGGATGTCATAACAGCATTGAAACCTGACCCTAGGCATCACTCAACTTCTCCTTCCTCCTTCAAATCCCTCTCCTAAATCCAGTGCCTTACAGACAGCCTTCGAGGCTCTCCTAGCCTTCATTCCGCAGCCCTCAAGTTGTTCTCTGTTGTAAAAATAGAGGAGTTAAAATCACTGTCTATAAAAACAAGCATATCCAAAGGGACTAGTCTTCTGGTTGGCTCAGCAAAAACAGATAACTTTCTTGGGCAAGCTAAACTAGAAAAAAAAAAATGTGGCAAAAAATTCCTGTCATCTTCTTGGTGATAGCTGACCAGCACCTGGAGTTTCTGCCTGGGGAGCAGAGGCAAAGCCGGTCCTCTTCCTGGCAGGTCAGTCCGCCAGGAGATGGCTTCACTGGGCTCTTCGGCAGTGGAAGGTTAGACTGCTGGCGGCCTTCCCTCACCGGTCGGAAAGGTGAGGAAGGGAAGGGGGGTTTCCGTGGGTAATGGAGAGACAATGGGGAGGGAGGGTGGCCAGGGAGAGACAGGAAGATGCCAGGCTGTCTTGGTGCGAGCCCTTCAAGGCCCCCGCATTGTCCTTGTTCTGGGCGGTTTTACTGCACTAGTATAAAACTTAGCTTTCCTGGTCCTTCTCATCCAGCCTCCCCCCAAATGGCCGAGCCCCTGCATTTCTTTACTTAACAAGTAGGGCTATGGTTTGTCATACTTTGACAGAAAAAAACTTGTACTAATTTTTCACTTGTCTAAACTACGTTCTCTTGCCAGAAAAATACTTGAGCTCAGGCCTGGCTGCAGAAGGTGGCTTTAGCTTTGTTTCATCAGCATCTTTTCATGACCCTGCCGTTTCCTGTCTGTTCCATATTACTGTGCTTCAGCACATGTAAAAGGCGAAAAATAGCAGCAGACTCCCTGAAATATGCCTGAGACTCAACTAAACTTATCTGACTGAAAACGTGCATAAAGCCACCTGCATTTCCCCCTCTCACCATCAGACACCTTTTGCAGATAGCTTGGACATCAGTAGTGGCCTGTGTTGCTAGAAGACTCTTGCAGGTTACCGCAGGAAAGTACATTTGTACCAGAACTACAGCCCAAGTGCACGTTCCGCCTTCAGAGGGGCCTTAGTTCAAGGTCTGCACACTGGCACAGCAAACACTCTAGCTTTTTTCTCTGACTTGAATGCCCCGTTTTAAACATCATTGCATGCAGACGTTTTGTACCCACTGACATTTTTAACCTTCAGCTTTTTTGTCAGAATTTCACCAGTTCTGTCTCTGCTGTAGGATGGACACGTCAGTCCCACTGTATGAGGCACGCTTTCCTTATCTGATTCTTATTAAAGCAGGTTTTGACACGGAAGGGCCAGCTGATTCAGAGTTAAGAGGGCAGGAATGAGGCATTCAAATTCCTCTAGGCACTGAAGTCACCTCTGACCTGGCCACAAAGGGGAGGGAAAGAAGAGAAATATCTTCTCGCGGCTGCCAAGAAAGTTTCCCACCCTCCTCTGCCAAAAGCCCCAGCTGTCCGTTGCTCAGCTGCCAAATGCCAAAGCAGCCTTTCCTGTACAGCTTCTGAGGGCTTGTCTGCATCAGGGAGCTGAATCAAAGGTGCGATTTCAAACCAGTTTAACTAAACTGTTACAAACTGTCTTAGGAAAGCATTCCTAAGATTTCAGGATTTCAGGGAAAAAAAGTATATGTCTTTATATGGCTTCTGATAAATGTATATGTTCATACGGGTGAAATTCTGGCTCAGCGGGCTGCAAATGGGGACAGGATTTCACCTAAACACTTAAAAAAGCATGCAAGGCATTGAAAACCAAAAGCTGTCAAGAATACACTGAATTTAATGGGGTCTCTCCTTCCCCAGAGTGCATAGGCGATTCACTCAGCCACTGTATAGCACATTTTGCGTGCAAGTACTTTATGGTCATTAATTCACAAAAATACGAAAGCTTTGTACAAGACAGTTAACAGAGAAAGTATTACAGCTATAGATTAAAACAGAAGATAATATACTGACTGCATGTACAGTATAGTAGCAAAGTGATTTTATACAGTACATGTGGGGACTTTGGCTTAAATCTGAGGATGAAATATTTATTGCTTGTACAGTTGTGTGATAAATTATTGGCAAGTAGAAGCACAGATGGCTTTCCCTTAAGATCAGGCATCACATACCACAAATTATCTGGGAAATTGTCATTTTAAAAATAACTCCAGAACAAGTGCCAAGCTGAGAGGCATATCAGTGTCTAATAAACAGATATAAACACAGCAGTGCCCAGAAGTAAAATGCATTTGGATTCAACTGTGGCTAGAAAGAGCCTATACAATTAGTACCGATTCTCTAGCAGTACAAATTAAAGCTTTTCATACTACATTTCTTCTGACTCCCCCTAATTAGGAAATTCATACTATGTTTTTTGGTGCGCATTTAAGCTGCTATGGAATTAATGGGCTGAATAGTCCTGCTAGATTCTTACGTTACAGTTCCTAAAAAAAAAAAAAATCACACCAGAAGAAAGTTAAGTGCAGCTACAGACAGGCCATTTTTTAACTGCTTTTCAAGGTGGTGACATGTGTAAGCCCTGAATCACGTGAGCTCATGAGCAGCCGCGGCTTCTGTTGTCTTCTCCGGGAATTGCACGTGCTTCACACCTGCGCAGCTCCAGCTCTTGGCACGTGCTAAAACGTATCGCTGAAATTAGCGGTACCTGGCAAAGTTGGCTATTTGCACAAAACAGCGTGTTTATTCGGCTGTAATGAGTGGCTGGGCAGATGGGGGCAGCAAGTACCCGGCAGCATTTTCCTGCTCTTCCCCGGCAAGCACCGCTGTGTCAGCAGCGGCCCCGCGGCTTCCCCCCCTGGGG